GCCCCTCCAGCACCCTTGCCCCCCTTGCCCTTGCCGGTGCGGCGTCTCCCGCTCGGGGCAGACGCAGCGCCGACCGACTCGAGACCAACGAGGTCGGCCGCAGCAGCAGAGGCAACAGAGGGCAAAAGAGGGGAGGGGGAACACCCCTCAAAGATGGGGGTGCGAGGGTCACCACGAGAGGCTCCTACAGCTACTATGCTCTTTTCTGCTGCTAGGAGGGCCTTCTCGAGGAGGTCAACGGTGAGAGTGGTGGGGCAAACTGAGAGGAAGTGGTCCCTGACTACGCGAAGGGAGTCAGGGAGACGGGTGACTATGTAGTAGAGGGTGATGTACATGGGGGGGGGGGTTCTTGGCGCAGAACTCAGCAGGAAGCGCAGCGCGGTAGCGAGTGTCACTAGTGCGGAGGTGCGTAATGAGGTCAGCGACTGTGGGAAAGGCAGCAAGGTCAGGGAAGAGGTACGGTAGCATGAGGCGGCTCAGTGCAGCAGTGGCAGGGGAGGAGTAGCGCGCAACTACAGCGTCGTACAAGGTGTGAGCACTCTTGTACTGGCTAAAGTGCGCACGCTCAGAGGTAGGCAGGTGGCGACGCACAGCAAGACGTGCAGCAGCATCGCGCGTGGCCCACTGTGAGCGAACAGTGGCGTCAGCATCAGCAGCGGGGGCAGGAGAGGCACCAGAAGTGAGGTCAAAGAGGGAGAGGCCGTCTGCCCTATCGCACTGTAAGAAAAGCTGCAGGTCATCTATCCAGACGTCAAAGTCAATGGCCCGACCCTCAGCGTCAAAAGAGAGGACACTAGGGGTAGCCATGACAGCAGTAGACTAGCAGCGCAAACAGTAGGGTGAGGGCAGTGCTGTGAAAGAGGCGCTGCTCTTACCGGACAGGGCGGCTCGGGCGGCTCGGCTGCAGGGCGGCTCGGCGGCTCGGCTGCTGGGCGGCTCGGCGGCTCGGCTGCTTGGCGGCTCGGCGGTTCGGCTGCTGGGCGGCTCGGCGGCTCGGCTGCTGGGCGGCTCAGCGGCGCGGCTGCTGGGCGGCTCGGCTGCTGGGCGGCTCGGCTGCTGGGCGGCTCGGCTGCTGGGCGGCTCGGCGGGGCCGCTGAGAGGGCGGCGTCCGGGGCCGCTGGGAGGAGGCGGCGGGGCCGCTGAGAGGAGGCGGCGGGGCCGCAAAGGTAGGTGGCGGGGCCAGCAGGTAGGTGGCGGGGCCGCACAGGTAGGTGGCGGGGCCGCGGGTAGGTGGCGGGGCCGCTGGTAGGTGGCGGGGCCGCAGGTAGGTGGCGGGGCCGCACAGGTAGATGGCGGGGCCGCGGGTAGGTGGCGGGGCCGCTGGTAGGTGGCGGGGCCGCAGGTAGGTGGCGGGGCCGCAGGTAGGTGGCGGGGCCGCACAGGTAGGTGGCGGGGCCGCGGGTAGGTGGCGGGGCCAGCAGGTAGGCGCCGGGGCCGCACAGGTAGGCGTCGGGGCCGCAGGTAGGCGCCGGGGCCGGAAAGGGCGGCGTCAGGGCCGCAGGGCGGCGCGAGGGCCGCGGGGTAGGCGACGAGGCCGCAGGGCGGCGGATCGAGGCCGGGTAAGGGCGGCGCGATGGCCGCGGGGTAGGCGACGAGGCCGCCGGGCGGCGGGTCGGGGCCAGGAAGGGCGGCGCGAGGGCCGCAAGGCAGGCGACAGGGCCGCTAGGGCGGCGCGACGGGGCGAGAAAAAAGGGAGGGGGGGGGGAGCGCGACTCGGGCTAGGACTGAGCGCGCTCCGGGCAGAAAAAAATGTCGAATTGGTGGGCCCTAGGAACAGTTCCCACGAGGGAACCTGCTCGATACCATGTGAGAATAGAAACGAGAATGAATGACTAAGGGAAAGTTGGGTACAAATGTAAACCCTAGAAAACTGTACCCCATATGTGCTACCCCACTATAGCCTACAGTACCTATGTCATATAAATCTGACACTATCTTGGCTTGCAGATCACCCGGGACAGAGCACGGCGCACCATTACTCTGACTCAGTCACACATGGTGCAGCAGGTCCTTCAGCGCTTCGACTTCACGTACTCCTCGCCTCAGGCCACTCCTCTGTCTACTCGCCACTCGCTCTCAGCTCTGCCTTCGGATGAGTCCGTAGAGCCGAGTGGCCCGTACCCAGAGCTTGTTGGCTGCCTCATGTACCTGATGACCTGCACTCGACCTGACCTAGCATACCCTCTGAGCATCTTGGCACGCTATGTTGCTCCTGGGAGACACCGACCAGAGCACATGGCTGCAGCGAAGAGGGTGTTGCGCTACTTGTGCAGTACTTCGGGCTTGGGGCTAGTGCTTGGAGGGCGGAGTCCAGTGGTCCTCACTGGTCACGCAGACGTGTCTTGGGTTGACGACCTGGCTACTCAGCGGTCGTCACAGGGTTACACCTTCAGCCTTGGTTCCGGCTCTGTTTCGTGGCGGTCTACTCGCTCGTCTTCTGTTCTCAGCTCCAGCTGTGAGGCTGAGATCTACGCAGGGGCCATGGCTGCACAGGAGTTACGCTGGCTCACCTACTTGCTGACTGACCTGGGAGAGCCGCCTCGTTCTCCTCCAGTTCTGTACGTAGACAACAAGGCTATGCTGGCCTTGTGTCGGGAGCACAGACTGGAGCACAGAACGAAGCACATTGCTCTTCGCTACTTCCTTGCTCGTGAGCTGCAGCAGCGTGGTCAGCTGCGCCTTGCTTACGTGGCCTCTCAGGCCAACACTGCTGATATCTTTACCAAGGCACTTCAGCCTTGTGATCATCAGCGCTTCTGTACTATGCTAGGTTTTGTGCCTACTTGGCCTCACTTGCTTACCTCTTGACTTTACTTGTACTGTGATCTATATATACCCGCACTTGCTTGTTTACCTCTATATATATGAACTTGCATGTGAACTGGCCTTGTGGCCTTTGAAACGGTGCTCAGACTGTGTGGTGACGTTGTGATCCACCCTGAGCTTGCTTTGCTTTGCTTTGCTTGACTGGTCTTGTGACCCCTAGTTCTCCCCCACTTTGCCTATGGGGGTGTGTCAGATGTATATGCCTTAGCCTATGTAGGCTGTAGTGGGGTAGACACTAAGGGGTACAGGTTTTATATTTGTATCTCGCACTTTCCTAGTTGATTCATTCCTGTTTAATTCTTCACACAGAATGATGAACGCAATAACAAATTTGTGCAATTACGGTACAAAGAACAACAGCAAACAAAAACGAGAATATAGGAACAAAAGGAACCCCGGTAAATAGAAGGACGAATCAGATAACATATGAAGAAACAGAAAAAATGAGACCGGAAAAGAAATAACATAGGATGGACAGGAGAAAAAAGAGAAGGAAACAACAACTTGAGAGCCTATCTAATCATGGAAAGGTAAAGAGCGCGATAGGGAATGGACAACGGATGCAAGGTGAACGACGTAAGGAATATCACGCGATGAGATAAGCTGAAGTCCTACAGAAAGCCTAGAACCTAATACGGAAACAGTTTGCAGCCCCTTAGAACGACCAACACTAAGTAGACGAGTAGAATACGACCATAAAAAACATGCTAGTCTAACTTAGTTTATTACTACCACCTAACTTAGTTCTAAAACATTAGTAGAACAACTTCTGACCTTGGGAAGCTTGGGAAGGTGGAGCTTGGGAAGCTGGAGCAAACCAAGAGAAACCAAGAGAGGAAGAGAGAAGAAAGAGACGGGGAACAAACCCTAACGATTGCAGATTCGTCGCAAAGAAAAGTTTATTATAATTTAAAACACATATCTGCAAGGGTGCTTCGAGCGCAGTCGATCGAAGGTTTTGTGGTAATTATAGGTTGGAAGGTTCGATTCTTGCGCGCGAGCGTTTTCTTCCATGCGGACACAATTCATAACTAAGTGCCAAACCTGTTAAAACAACATTCGATACTATATATAATATTGTATGATATTGTAAGGTGTGCAATATTGCAAAACGCTTCGCAACCCTAGGACGACTTGTCGCCTCTTGTTTTTTTTTTGTTGTTTTTTTTTCGCGCAGTCTTGTGACATTGCACATTGTATGCAGTGAATATTGTCACCTCACAAGGTGATATTTTATATAAATTGCTGTCATGTTTAGAACCCATCAGAGCGTCTACATCCAGTTATGGAACCTATCACACATGACTGTCGTGGTGAAACCCTTCAATACATCGTGCAACGCGGATGACGGGTCGGTTTGGTACGGTGACAAACCTGACCTGACGTGGAGACAGATATTTTGCAGTGTTTTACCTCCCCAACTTAAACGAAATTTCTCTCTGCACCTGCACCTGGGAGCGGATGTGAGAGGCCTGTAACACAACAGCCTTGAAAATTACGGGAGAATCCGGAAGACAGTTCTCAAACAAACCACAACTCTAGGTCTAGAGGCTCCCTTCCGTCCAAACCAGGCAACAACACCTGACCTCACACCCAGAACCTCTGTGTATCCCTCAGTGGTCGTTTCTGGGTTTACGGAAGGGCAGCGCTGAACTGACCCCGGAAAATCAGAAAATGAATGTTGATTTTAACCTTCGTTCTAACCCGCGACGGCTTCTTGGTATCTCATCTCCCTCGTTGATTTACGGCAGAGCGATAAACTGTTATATTGAAGCGTTTGGGTAGGATTCTATTAGGTCCTGTAACAGCAGAACTTTCAGCATCCAGCTTCCCTAAACTCTGGTCTCATTCGTTCCTCCCTCTCACCTTCATTTCTCATACTACTTCCTAGGTTTGTGACTCCTCAGGAGCTGCCGCTCAGGTCAGCTCAGTGTAAATATAGTGCTGCGATCTCTGCTACCTCGTTTTTGTCTAAACCTAGCCGTAAGTTTTGTGGACGCGTGCCGTGAGCCTAGCCACGTGGCAAGCCTCAGCTGGTTCTAGCCGAATCAAATCCCATCATGACTTCGACGGGCACTCTGTGCAATCTCGCGGGACCGGAAGGGCGAAAGAAGCGCGTCGCGTATTTCTACGATCCGGACGTGGGGAATTACTATTACGGCCAGGGCCATCCCATGAAGCCGCACCGCATCCGGATGACGCACAGCCTGCTCATGCACTACGGCCTGCACACCAAGCTGGAGATCTTCAAGCCGTTTCCCGCGCGCGATAAAGATATGTGCAGGTACGCCTTATAACAGGGATGTTTTTGCATCCAGATGAACCACAGCCTGTGCACTACAGCCTGCACGTCATTTTGAAGAGTTTCAAGCCGTTTCGCGCGCGCGACGATAAGGGCATGCGTAGGTGAGGCGGATTGCTGTCAGTGTGGGGTTGTTTTCAATTCTGAATGACTAACAGCCTGCTGATGCACTACGGCCTGCACACAAAACTCGAGATCTTCAAGCCGTTTCCCGCTCGCGACAAGGACATGTGCAGGTGATTACAGTGTTTAATGCTTATAAGTTGTAACGGGGTTGCTTCTGGATCCGGATGACCCACAGCCTACTCATGCACTACGGCCTGCACACCAAGCTCGAGATCTTCGAGCCGTTTCCCGCTCGCGACAAGGACATGTGTAGGTGAGGCGGATTGCTGTCAGAACGGGGTTGATTTCAAATTTGAATGACTAGCAGCCTGCTGATGCGCTACGGCCTGCACACCAAGCTTGAGGTTTTCAAACCGTTTCTCGCTCGCAATAAGGATATGTGTAGGTGAGGCTTATAGCGGAGTTGTTTCTGAAGTCGAATGACACACAGCCTGCTCATACACTCCGCTTTGCACGACAAGCTGGAGATAAGGATCTGTGCAGGTAAAGCGGGATGTGCTTATAACGGGGTTATGTCCGGATCCGGCCAGCTGAACCCCTCCTTCGACCCTTTACCCCCACAAAACCCCACCCGCCCCCTTTTTTCCCCCTTTTTGGTCTTCTATGTGCATCCCTCCCTCCTGCAAGGTTCCACTCAGACGACTTGTGGTGGAGTTTCTCCGAACGGTGACCCCGGAGAACCAGCACGGCTTCTCTGTGTCGTCACCTTCCAGCCTTTGCCATCCGCTCCCTCCCACCCACTACCCACCAGGTTCCACTCGGACGACTATGTCGAGTTTCTCCCAACAGTCACACCCGAGAACCAGCACGAGCAGTTGCGAATGCTCAAGCGCTTCTCCCATTCCCATTTCTCTCCCTACTTAATCCTGCCAGGTTCCACTCAGACGACTATGTCGAGTTTCTCCCAACAGTCACACCCGAGAACCAGCACGAGCAGTTGCGAATGCTCAAGCGCTTCTCCCATTCCCATTTCTCTCCCTACTTAATCCTGCCAGGTTCCACTCAGACGACTATGTGGAGTTTCTCCGCACAGTCACCCCCGAGAATCAGCACGAGCAGCTGCGGATGCTCAAGCGCATCTCCCGTTCCCATTCTTTCCCTTCTCTCTCCCACGGTCACACCAGGTTCCATTCAGACGACTACGTGGAGTTCCTCCGCACAAGCGCTCCCTCTGACCTTTCTCCCCCTCCCACCAGGTTCCATTCAGACGACTACGTGAAGTTCCTCCGCACAGTGACTCCTGAGAACCAGCACGAGCAGCTGCGGATGCTCAAGCGCTTCAACGATCCTCGTTCCCACTCTCCCACTCCTCCTTCCCACCTGCCAGGTTCCATTCAGATGACTACGTGGAGTTTCTCCGAACTGTCACTCCTGAGAACCAGCACGAGCAGCTGCGGATGCTCAAGCGCTTCAACGTGGGGGAGGACTGCCCCGTCTTTGACGGGCTCTATCAGTTCTGCCAAACCTACACCGGAGGCTCGGTGGGAGGCGCGGTGAAGCTGAACCACGGGCACTCGGACATCGCGATCAACTGGGCGGGCGGGTTGCACCACGCCAAGAAATGTGAAGCATCGGGGTTCTGCTACGTCAATGACATCGTGCTTGCGATTCTGGAGCTGCTCAAGTATCATGCTGTGAGTGAGTTTCTTGAACATTGCCATCTACTGTGGGGGCTGGGTGGCCGGGCTGCACCACGCCAAGAAGTGCGAAGCGTCGGGGCTGAACCTGGCACTTAGACTGCTGCGAACGCTCAAGTGGTGAAGCTGAACCACGGGCACTCGGACATTGCCATCAATTGGGCGGGTGGGCTGCACCACGCGAAGAAGTGCGAGGCGTCAGGGTTCTGCTACGTGAACGACATTGTGCTTGCCATCCTGGAGCTCCGCAAGTATCACGCAGTGAGTGTTCCTGTCTGAACATTGCCATTACCTGTTGGGGGCGGGCTGGCTGCATCACGCCAAGAAGTGTGAGGCGTCGGGGTTCTGCTACGTGAACGACATTGTCCTTGCGATCCTGGAGCTGCTCAAATACCATGCGGTGAGTTCCTTGAACATTGCCATCAACTGTGCTGCTGTGTGAGGGGCCGGTGGGCTGCATCATGCCAAGAAAGAAGTGCGAGGCGTTGGGGTTCTGCTACGTGAACGACATTGTGCTTGCAATCCTGGAGCTCCTTAAATACCATGCGGTGAGTCTCCTCTCTTGAACATTGCCATCAACTGTGGTGTGTAAGGGGCCAGTGGGCTGCATCATGCCAAGAAGTGTGAAGCGTCGGGGTTCTGCTACGTGAACGACATCGTGCTTGCGATTCTGGAGCTGTTGAAGTACCACGCTGTGAGTCCACCTCTCTCTACTCGTCTCACAGTAGAAAGAAGTGTTTTGAGACGTCTCAAAGCGATCCTGGAGCTGTTGTAGTACGTTTTTTGAGAATTCTAAAAAAACATACGAAGTACCACGCTGTGACTCTACCTCTCTCTACTCATTTCACAGTACCCCGCTCTAAGTCCCCTCACTTGAAAACCTGATTAGTCCAATCAAACCGAGCTGAACCACAGGCACTCGGACATTGCGATCTACTGGCGGGGGGGGGGGGGGGGGGGGCTGCTGTCTCCTCTCGTCTCCATCTCCTTTTCTTCGCCCCCCCCTTACTCCTCCCCCCTCCCCCCAGCGTGTGCTGCTGCATTGACATCCACCACGAGGACGGCGTGGAGGCGAGCTCTCCTCCGGTCTTACAGTGCTTCTTCCATCCTTCCTCTTCTGCCCCCAACGCAACCCCTCCTCCCCCCAGCAAGTGCTGTACATCGACATTGACATCCACCACGGGGACGGCGTGGAGGAGGCGGCCGTCTGTCTGTCTCATCTCCATCTCTCCGCCACCCGTCCCCCTCCACCTGCTCCCCTTCGTCCCAGCGTGTGCTCTACATCGACATTGACATCCACCACGGCGACGGTGTGGAGGAGGAGGAGGAGAGGCCTGCTCTCTCATACCCTTTGCCCTCGTCTTCCCTTCACCTCCTTCTCCCCTTCTCTCCCCAGCGTGTGCTCTACATCGACATTGACATCCACCACAGGGACAGCGTGGAGGAGGGGGCCTTCTGTTTCATACCCTTAGTCTCTTCTTCCCTTTATCCCGCTCTCTCCCCCCCCAGCGTGTGCTCTACATCGACATTGACATCCACCACGGGGACGGCGTGGAGGAGGAGGCGTTATGTCTCATGCGGTCTCCTTCTCTCATGCCTATCTGTTCCGCCCCCCGCTCCCCCACCTTCTCCCCCAAGCGAGTGCTCTACATCGACATTGACATCCACCACGGTGACGGCGTGGAGGAGGGCTGCTCTCCTCCGATCTCACACACTTCTTCCATTCTTCCCCCATTCCTCCCCTCCCCCTCCTCCTCCCAGCGTGTGCTATACATCGACATTGACATCCACCATGGGGACGGCGTGGAGGAGGAGGAGGCGTTTCACTCATGTCATTTTTCTGTCTCATGCCTATCTGTTCCGCCCCTCCTTCCTCCTCTTCTCTCCCCAGCGTGTGCTGTACATCGACATTGACATCCACCACGGGGACGGAGTGGAGGAGGCGTTTTACACGACGGACCGAGTGATGACAGTCTCCTTCCACAAGTTTGGCGACTACTTTCCCGGCACAGGTGAGGGATCGGTTGAAGGCACAGGTGAGGGATCGGTTGAAGGCACAGGTGAGGGATCGGTTGAAGGCACAGGTGAGGGATCGTTTGAAGGCACAGGTGAGGGATCGTTTGAAGGCACAGGTGAGGGATCGGTTGAAGGCACAGGTGAGGGATCGGTTGAAGGCACAGGTGAGGGATCGGTTGAAGGCACAGGTGAGGGATCGGTTGAAGGCACAGGTGAGGGATCGGTTGAAGGCACAGGTGAGGGATCGTTTGAAGGCACAGGTGAGGGATCGGTTGAAGGCACAGGTGAGGGATCGTTTGAAGGCACAGGTGAGGGATCGGTTGAAGGCACAGGTGAGGGATCGGTTGAAGGCACAGGTGAGGGATCGTTTGAAGGCACAGGTGAGGGATCGGTTGAAGGCACAGGTGAGGGATCGGTTGAAGGCACAGGTGAGGGATCGGTTGAAGGCACAGGTGAGGGATCGGTTGAAGGCACAGGTGAGGGATCGGTTGAAGGCACAGGTGAGGGATCGTTTGAAGGCACAGGTGAGGGATCGGTTGAAGGCACAGGTGAGGGATCGTTTGAAGGCACAGGTGAGGGATCGGTTGAAGGCACAGGTGAGGGATCGGTTGAAGGCACAGGTGAGGGATCGGTTGAAGGCACAGGTGAGGGATCGTTTGAAGGCACAGGTGAGGGATCGGTTGAAGGCACAGGTGAGGGATCGTTTGAAGGCACAGGTGAGGGATCGTTTGAAGGCACAGGTGAGGGATCGGTTGAAGGCACAGGTGAGGGATCGGTTGAAGGCACAGGTGAGGGATCGGTTGAAGGCACAGGTGAGGGATCGGTTGAAGGCACAGGTGAGGGATCGTTTGAAGGCACAGGTGAGGGATCGGTTGAAGGCACAGGTGAGGGATCGTTTGAAGGCACAGGTGAGGGATCGGTTGAAGGCACAGGTGAGGGATCGTTTGAAGGCACAGGTGAGGGATCGGTTGAAGGCACAGGTGAGGGATCGTTTGAAGGCACAGTTGAGGGATCGGTTGAAGGCACAGGTGAGGGATCGGTTGAAGGCACAGGTGAGGGATCGGTTGAAGGCACAGGTGAGGGATCGGTTGAGGCACAGGTGAGGGATCGGTTGAAGGCACAGGTGAGGGATCGTTTGAAGGCACAGGTGAGGGATCGGTTGAAGGCACAGGTGAGGGATCGTTTGAAGGCACAGGTGAGGGATCGGTTGAAGGCACAGGTGAGGGATCGTTTGAAGGCACAGGTGAGGGATCGGTTGAAGGCACAGGTGAGGGATCGTTTGAAGGCACAGGTGAGGGATCGGTTGAAGGCACAGGTAGGGGGATTACTTTCCAGGCACAGGTGGGTTTAGGTTGACTAGAGAGTCACGACGGACCAAGTCATGACCGTGTCCTTCCACAAGTTTGGCGACTACCTCCCCAGCACAGGTGGGAATGGGTGTTGGGCCTCTTCTGGGCACAGTGGGTGCTGAGTCCATGCACAAGTCCCAACTGTCGGACCGGGTGATGACCGTGTCCTTCCACAAGTTTGGCGACTACCTCCCCAGCACAGGTAGGTTTGGGTGCATCTGAGTAAGCTTAAGCGACTGAAACTCAGTCACTGAAGGGAGACGGAGTGGAGGAGGCGTTTTACACGACGCACCGAGTCATGACCCTGTCCTTTCACAAGTTTGGGGATTATTTCCCCGGCACAGGTAAAAACGGCTCCAACAATCCCTAGGAGTTTTGAATAAACTCAGTCACTCAGGGCACAGGTGGGTGGGTGTTGAGTCGACTCAGAAGTCCCAATTTACTTTGGGGGCACGGTTATGGCCGTGGCAAGCTACAGTGCCTCTCCTAGTGGAGCTTGCCTCTCTTAGTGTGACAGGGGCAAGCAAGCACTGCCCTTCTTTTACCCTCCACTTCTCCCCCTCATTGCCAGGCGATCTGAGGGACACGGGGTACGGGCGTGGCAAGCACTACTCCCTCGACGTGCCTCTGCACGACGGCATCGACGACGACAGCTACCTCTTGCTCTTCAAGCCCCTCATCTCCAAGGTCATGGACGTCTTTCAGCCCGGCGCAGTCGTGCTGCAGTTGGAGGCGCAGTGCGGTGCAGTGCGGTGGAGCTCGGTGCTCTGTCCCTCCCAATTCACCTTGTTTCCTTCGCGCCTGCTTCCCGCCTGCTCCCATACTCCAGGCGACCTAAGGGACACGGGGTACGGGCGCGGCAAGCACTACTCGCTCAACGTGCCTCTCCACGACGGCATTGACGACGACAGCTACCTCTCGCTCTTCAAGCCCCTCATCACAAAGGTCATGGACGTCTTTCAACCGGGCGCCGTCGTGCTGCAGTGCGGAGCGGACTCGCTATCGGGAGACCGGCTGGGGTGCTTCAACCTTTCGGTGCGGGGGCACTCGGAGTGTGTGCGGTTTTTGAGATCTTTCAACGTGCCGCTGCTGCTGCTGGGCGGAGGAGGCTACACCATTCGCAACGTCGCGCGCTGCTGGTGCTATGAGGTAAGCCCAGGCGCCCTTTTCTCTCTCTCTCCCTCCCCCTCTCCCCCTCCCTCTCCCCCTCCTGTCGCCCTCGCATCTCTCTGTGAGTTGGGAGATTGGGGCCGGGGTGCTGCTTCAATCTGTCGGTGAGGGGGCACTCGGAGTGTGTGTGCTTCTTGTGCTCGTTCAACGTGCCGCTGCTGCTGCTGCTGGGGAGCGGAGGCTACCCCATCCGCAACGTGCTGGTGTTACGAGGTAAGTCGAGCCAGAGTTTAGAGTTCAGGGGCACTCGGAGTGTGCGCTTCTTGCGATCTTTCAACGTGTTGCTACTGCTGCTGGGAGGGGGAGGGTATACCATCCGCAACGTCGCCCGCTGCTGGTGCTACGAGGTAAGGCGGGCTGTTGGGGATTGGGCGGGCTTTTCTGTCTCTTCCTCCCATCGCTAAGTTTATCCGAACGGACGGGAGTGGCAAGGGGGTTGGAATTAGAGGATCGAATGCGTTTCAATGACTACTACGAGTTTTATTGCCCGGAATGGACTACACCCTCCACGTCACATCACACCCCCTCATTCCTTCTCCCTCACCACGCCCTGCCTCCTTGTCTATCCGTACAGACGGGAGTGGCAGCGGGGTTGTAGCTAGAAGATTGCATGCCTTTCAACGACTGCTACGTGTATTTTGCCCCGGACTACACCCTCCACATCACATCACACCATGACCCCACACGCCCTCTTCCTCCCCACGCCCTCTCCCCCTTCCCTCGTCTTCCTACCCCTTCCCTTTCTTGTCTGTCCATCTGTTCAGACTGGAGTGGCGGTGGGGTTGGAGCTAGAGGATCGCATGCCTTTCAATGAATACTACGAGTATTCTGGCCCGGATTACACCCTCCTCCACATCACATCCCTCATTCCGTCTCCCTCCTTGCACCCTCCCTACTCCTCCCTCCCCCCCCCCTCTGTCTATCCTAACAGACGGGAGTGGCGGTGGGGTTGGAGCTAGAGGACCGAATGCCGTTCAACGAACTACTATGAGTATTTCGGCCCGGACTACACGCTGCACATCACACCACCGCATTCCTTCTCCCTTCATTGTTCCTTCCCTCCGCATCCGAACAGACGGGAGTGGCAGTGGGGTTGGAGCTGGAAGACCGCATGCCTTTCAATGACTACTACGAGTATTTCGGCCCGGATTACACGCTGCACATCACACCACAACCTCGCACCCCCTCTTCCATCCCACGCCCTCCTTCCTCCTCTCTCCTTTCCTCCCCGTCCGCCCAAGCAGACGGGAGTAGCGGTGGGGTTGGAGCTAGAAGACCGAATGCCTTTCAACGACTACTATGAGTATTTCGGCCCGGATTACACGCTGCACATCACGCCCAGCAACATGGAGAACCAGAACTCGAGGGCGTATTTAGACTCAGTGCGGTGAGTCGTGTGCCCTGGTTCTGGTTCATGCATGCACGGTGGTAGTAGCTCACTCTTCACCACCACATCACACCCAGCAACATGGAGAACCAGAACTCGAGGGCCTATCTAGACTCTGTGGGTGGGTGGGTGGGTGCGAGGACAGCATTGTCCTTTCCTCATTCCGATTGCCATCACCTCTCCCTCTCTCGAGTCGGCATTCGCCTTCTGACGAATCTATCCAACCTGCAGCATTGTCTTCTCCCCCTCAGCGTTGTCTTTTCCCCATACCCATTCCCATTCCCTTTCTTATTCCCATCCCATCGCCATTGCCATCGCCTCTTCCTCTCCCTCCCTACTCAGCATTTCCTACCCGGCATTTCCCTACCCGGCATTCGCCTTATGGGGAATCTATCCCAGCTGCAACACTCTCCCATTGTGCCCATTCCCATGCATCTTCCTTCTTTTAGGTGCCTCAAGAAATGCATTCCATGCATCTTCCTTCTTTTAGGTGCCTCAAGAAATGCATTCCATGCATCTTCCTTCTTTTAGGTGCCTCAAGAAATGCATTCCATGCATCTTCCTTCTTTTAGGTGCCTCAAGAAATGCATTCCATGCATCTTCCTTCTTTTAGGTGCCTCAAGAAATGCATTCCATGCATCTTCCTTCTTTTAGGTGCCTCAAGAAATGCATTCCATGCATCTTCCTTCTTTTAGGTGCCTCAAGAAATGCATTCCCATGCATCTTCCTTCTTTTAGGTGCCTCAAGAAATGCATTCCATGCATCTTCCTTCTTTTAGGTGCCTCAAGAAATGCATTCCCATGCATCTTCCTTCTTTTAGGTGCCTCAAGAAATGCATTCCATGCATCTTCCTTCTTTTCGGTGCCTCAAGAAATGCATTCCATGCATCTTCCTTCTTTTAGGTGCCTCAAGAAATGCATTCCATGCATCTTCCTTCTTTTAGGTGCCTCAAGAAATGCATTCCATGCATCTTCCTTCTTTTAGGTGCCTCAAGAAATGCATTCCATGCATCTTCCTTCTTTTAGGTGCCTCAAGAAATGCATTCCATGCATCTTCCTTCTTTTAGGTGCCTCAAGAAATGCATTCCATGCATCTTCCTTCTTTTAGGTGCCTCAAGAAATGCATTCCATGCATCTTCCTTCTTTTAGGTGCCTCAAGAAATGCATTCCCATGCATCTTCCTTCTTTTAGGTGCCTCAAGAAATGCATTCCATGCATCTTCCTTCTTTTAGGTGCCTCAAGAAATGCATTCCCATGCATCTTCCTTCTTTTAGGTGCCTCAAGAAATGCATTCCCATGCATCTTCCTTCTTTTAGGTGCCTCAAGGAATGCATTCCATGCATCTTCCTTCTTTTAGGTGCCTCAAGAAATGCATTCCATGCATCTTCCTTCTTTTAGGTGCCTCAAGAAATGCATTCCATGCATCTTCCTTCTTTTAGGTGCCTCAAGAAATGCATTCCATGCATCTTCCTTCTTTTAGGTGCCTCAAGAAATGCATTCCATGCATCTTCCTTCTTTTAGGTGCCTCAAGAAATGCATTCCCATGCATCTTCCTTCTTTTAGGTGCCTCAAGAAATGCATTCCATGCATCTTCCTTCTTTTAGGTGCCTCAAGAAATGCATTCCCATGCATCTTCCTTCTTTTAGGTGCCTCAAGAAATGCATTCCATGCATCTTCCTTCTTTTAGGTGCCTCAAGAAATGCATTCCATGCATCTTCCTTCTTTTAGGTGCCTCAAGAAATGCATTCCATGCATCTTCCTTCTTTTAGGTGCCTCACGAAATGCATTCCATGCATCTTCCTTCTTTTAGGTGCCTCAAGAAATGCATTCCATGCATCTTCCTTCTTTTAGGTGCCTTAAGAAATGCATTCCATGCATCTTCCTTCTTTTAGGTGCCTCAAGAAATGCATTCCCATGCATCTTCCTTCTTTTAGGTGCCTCAAGAAATGCATTCCATGCATCTTCCTTCTTTTCCGTGCCTCAAGAAATGCATTCCCATGCATCTTCCTTCTTTTAGGTGCCTCAAGAAATGCATTCCATGCATCTTCCTTCTTTTAGGTGCCTCAAGAAATGCATTCCCATGCATCTTCCTTCTTTTAGGTGCCTCAAGAAATGCATTCCATGCATCTTCCTTCTTTTAGGTGCCTCAAGAAATGCATTCCATGCATCTTCCTTCTTTTAGGTGCCTCAAGAAATGCATTCCATGCATCTTCCTTCTTTTAGGTGCCTCAAGAAATGCATTCCATGCATCTTCCTTCTTTTAGGTGCCTCAAGAAATGCATTCCCATGCATCTTCCTTCTTTTAGGTGCCTCAAGAAATGCATTCCATGCATCTTCCTTCTTTTAGGTGCCTCAAGAAATGCATTCCCATGCATCTTCCTTCTTTTAGGTGCCTCAAGAAATGCATTCCCATGCATCTTCCTTCTTTTAGGTGCCTCAAGGAATGCATTCCATGCATCTTCCTTCTTTTAGGTGCCTCAAGAAATGCATTCCATGCATCTTCCTTCTTTTAGGTGCCTCAAGAAATGCATTCCATGCATCTTCCTTCTTTTAGGTGCCTCAAGAAATGCATTCCCATGCATCTTCCTTCTTTTAGGTGCCTCAAGAAATGCATTCCATGCATCTTCCTTCTTTTAGGTGCCTCAAGAAATGCATTCCCATGCATCTTCCTTCTTTTAGGTGCCTCAAGAAATGCATTCCATGCATCTTCCTTCTTTTAGGTGCCTCAAGAAATGCATTCCCATGCATCTTCCTTCTTTTAGGTGCCTCAAGAAATGCATTCCATGCATCTTCCTTCTTTTAGGTGCCTCAAGAAATGCATTCCATGCATCTTCCTTCTTTTAGGTGCCTCAAGAAATGCATTCCATGCATCTTCCTTCTTTTAGGTGCCTCAAGAAATGCATTCCATGCATCTTCCTTCTTTTAGGTGCCTCAAGAAATGCATTCCCATGCATCTTCCTTCTTTTAGGTGCCTCAAGAAATGCATTCCATGCATCTTCCTTCTTTTAGGTGCCTCAAGAAATGCATTCCCATGCATCTTCCTTCTTTTAGGTGCCTCAAGAAATGCATTCCCATGCATCTTCCTTCTTTTAGGTGCCTCAAGAAATGCATTCCATGCATCTTCCTTCTTTTAGGTGCCTCAAGAAATGCATTCCATGCATCTTCCTTCTTTTAGGTGCCTCAAGAAATGCATTCCATGCATCTTCCTTCTTTTAGGTGCCTCAAGAAATGCATTCCCATGCATCTTCCTTCTTTTAGGTGCCTCAAGAAATGCATTCCCATGCATCTTCCTTCTTTTAGGTGCCTCAAGAAATGCATTCCATGCATCTTCCTTCTTTTAGGTGCCTCAAGAAATGCATTCCATGCATCTTCCTTCTTTTAGGTGCCTCAAGAAATGCATTCCATGCATCTTCCTCCTTTTAGGTGCCTCAAGAAATGCATTCCATGCATCTTCCTTCTTTTAGGTGCCTCAAGAAATGCATTCCATGCATCTTCCTTCTTTTAGGTGCCTCAAGAAATGCATTCCCATGCATCTTCCTTCTTTTAGGTGCCTCAAGAAATGCATTCCATGCATCTTCCTTCTTTTAGGTGCCTCAAGAAATGCATTCCATGCATCTTCCTTCTTTTAGGTGCCTCAAGAAATGCATTCCATGCATCTTCCTTCTTTTAGGTGCCTCAAGAAATGCATTCCATGCATCTTCCTTCTTTTAGGTGCCTCAAGAAATGCATTCCATGCAACTTCCTTCTTTTAGGTGCCTCAAGAAATGCATTCCCATGCATCTTCCTTCTTTTAGGTGCCTCAAGAAATGCATTCCATGCATCTTCCTTCTTTTAGGTGCCTCAAGAAATGCATTCCATGCATCTTCCTTCTTTTAGGTGCCTCAAGAAATGCATTCCATGCATCTTCCTTCTTTTAGGTGCCTCAAGAAATGCATTCCATGCATCTTCCTTCTTTTAGGTGCCTCAAGAAATGCATTCCATGCATCTTCCTTCTTTTAGGTGCCTCAAGAAATGCATTCCATGCATCTTCCTTCTTTTAGGTGCCTCAAGAAATGCATTCCATGCATCTTCCTTCTTTTAGGTGCCTCAAGAAATGCATTCCATGCATCTTCCTTCTTTTAGGTGCCTCAAGAAATGCATTCCATGCATCTTCCTTCTTTTAGGTGCCTCAAGAAATGCATTCCATGCATCTTCCTTCTTTTAGGTGCCTCAAGAAATGCATTCCCATGCATCTTCCTTCTTTTAGGTGCCTCAAGAAATGCATTCCCATGCATCTTCCTTCTTTTAGGTGCCTCAAGAAATGCATTCCATGCATCTTCCTTCTTTTAGGTGCCTCAAGAAATGCATTCCATGCATCTTCCTTCTTTTAGGTGCCTCAAGAAATGCATTCCCATGCATCTTCCTTC